CGGCAGCAGCGTTGGGTGGCACATCGCCCCCGCTAGCCGCAGCCGGGCTGAAACCCCGGAGCAGGCTCACCGGCATGCAACCGCGGCCAGGGGCTTCTGGTGAAACTCCTGCCCCAGCTCAAAACTAGCCAGGGCACAGTGGCACGTCATTTCCTGACCTTCTCTCCGCAGGTGCTGGAGTCTATTCCCAGGTCAGGGGGAACGCCAGAACAGTTTGCTGCTTCTGGGAAGGCCCCAAGTATCTCCGAAGGTTAGAAAAGGGGGAATGAAAAGCCCGTTAAGCAGCTGGGGGTAACGGCAATTAACATTTTGCAGAGCAACAGCAAAATGAGCAGGTCTGGCTGAATTCCCCTACCCATCCGGAGCAAGAGCGACGCGCGATGCGGCTGTGCCGCAGGCCGATACCGGCGTGACAGCTCCGTCTTGCTCCTCTCGCTCGCCGTGCTGCACAACTCCCCACGCGTTTCCTCCAGGCTAAATATGAGCTTAAAGAACGTAAAACGTAGAGGAACGGTGAGGCTGGGCAAAGCTATGAGGCAAGAGTGGATCAGGCTGGTCTCCGAGGGCTCGTCCCCACAACACTTGGGTTTGGAGGCCAAGAGCACCCCAGGCCTCTTGGCCTCCAGCGGCAGGTTCCATAGTGCCCTCAGCTGCAAACCTCGACCAGCGGCAGCGGGAACCACGGAAAACACACCCAGGCCAACAGGGAAAGCGGGAGGAAAGGAATGGAGGAGCAGTCCCACCTCAGAGGAGCACTCTGGGGTCTCCCGTCACCGACAGCCTCCCAGGCACCGCACCCATACGCTCACCCCTTCCTCTCTACCCGGGAGATGCACGCTGAGGCGCGTCCCCGCGGGAGTGACGAGCCAGCCACCACGTCAGTTCTACCATTATTTATTTTTTTAAATATTTTTGAAAAAATATAATTTTTTTACAATATTTTCAACTTAAACACTATTCACACTGAACACGTATGGCAGCTTAACCTACCCAAATATGAAGTTTAAGAAGCCAAAACTGTTCTAGCTTTATTAAAAGGGGGAAAAAAAAAAACAAAACCCAAACAAGAAGTAGTTGTGCTGTAGACTATCGTGTAGTGATGATTAAACAAAGCAAGGGCAAAGCACCACTCCCATCACTAACGCTGGGGCTTCCCGGTGGAACCCGGCCAGAAGGAAGTCGTACGCCAAGTTACGCAGGCAGCGCTACGTAGGGGTCAGGGTCCTTGGAAGAAATCGCCTCTGCCGTCAGGAAGCGAAACGTGTCGAACGCGGTAAGAGGCCGCGGAGCGCGGGGAGTCCCCTCCTTCCCAGCGCGCGGATGTTAGCTCGGCAGCCGAGATCTACGACTCCGTGCAGGTCTGTAAAGTTGCTGTTAAAGCTCATGCTGCTTAGAAGGAGCACGAAGTTTTTAAGGGGGCAAAATTAACGTTAGTACCAACACCGATAGTTCAAAAAGTTAGCTAATTTGCATAACAATCCGATATCCTCTTTCATTTTGAAGTTAAGGCATTATCAGGTGCAGCCGAGCACCAGTTAACACATCTCTAGTTATAAACAGACCATCCGGAGCAAACGCCAAGTCCTGTTTAAGAAGACAGAGTCTGCAGAAGGATTTGTGGACGTGGTACTTTGTCTCGACTTGACTGGTGGTTCTTACCTCGCTGGCCGCCTCCTTCCAGAGAGCCAGGCTCCAATCACGGCTCCATTACACTTGTGACAGATGTACTTAGTAACAGTCTCAGCACTTTTATTGAGCATGCAAGACTAACAAAACTTTGGCAATGCATAAGTGTAACACAGTGACAAGAAGAGAGAGCTTTTACAATTAAATCTTCTAATACTGGCTTCACAGTGTGGAAATTGTGCTACATCCACCAAGATAGGGCCCAGTCTACTCAAATATTTAAGTACTTCACCCCAGGAACAAACTCCTTTGCGTTTGGATTCAGGTTACTCTTGACCTGGGGGAGGGAAAAAGAGAATCATCACTTTCATCTGCCAATCTAAAGCTGAGCACAATTCTAGGATGACAGCGTCAGGAACAGGTTATGGATTGAGTGTAACAGGCATGGAATAGAAGAACAGGCAAACAAAAATGCTATATATAGGACAATAATGTAATATTTTAGATATATGGTAATAATATAAAATATATTAAAAAAAATAGGTTTTGCATGTACCAAAGTCTCTATAGTCACTAGGAAATCCCAGTGCCCTGTGCTGGCACCTGAATTATCCATCCTTCCTCAGCACCACCTGGACGTTTCAGTCAGCCAAGGGCGCAGGGAACAAGAAAGCCACAGACAGGCATCAAACACAGCAACTTCAATTAATGCTGAAATAGCTTCTTCTGCAGTTGAGCCATTAAAACGTGCCATGAGGTTTTTAGAGCTTGCTTATTTAGCAAGAGGAGACTTGCTCCAGGAGCTTAAGCCACTTCTGAGAAAGTAACGTATTTGAGCACCGTACTGATGTTTAAAATCTCCATGCCTGGGACTACCCAGTCCTCCCGCTTGGCCAGCTGCTGCTCTACAAATCCCAGTTACAGGTGGGCAGGCAGCACCTCCAAAATGAGCTCTATCTTACAGAAATGTGGGATTAGGCTTTTGGGTTTTCTGAACTGAGTCTAAAACCGCTGCCTGCAGCTGCTTAAGCTTGGAAAGGTCGGGGTTTGCATCTGAATTTCACAGCAGTTTGCGACGTGACGATTTGGGGTTTTTGTGTGCTCTGATTTTTGTTAGGGGAAAATCCGTAGACACTGCCCTTCCCTTGTAGTTAAATTCCAGGCAGGAGTCATACAGCAACAGGGTAACAATCACGGTTCAGCTGCTTCCCTCCTCCCTAGGATTTCTACAACGAGATCCGCTATGGTTCATCCAAACCTCGCACCTACCCAGCACGAGGTGCTGACAGACACCGAACGAAACCTCTGCACTTCGCAGGGCGAGCACGCCTCGCTCTCGGCCGTTCTCCGTAACACCGCATGCGTACCCCAGGCCACCTGAATTTATGCTGTGGGCTAGGAAAGGCACCACGCCATCACGAAGAAAACCACTGGAGGAAACATCCCTTACCCAACCGTTCCACCTTTCCCCTCCACCGCAGCTAGGCACGGTTTAAGTCTCTGGCCTGCGGCTGAAGGATTTTCTCCTCCCATTATCAGCCACAAAAATCAGCCTCGGCCAAAGAGAGATGTCAAGCTGTAGAAATATGATGAGAAACTGAATTTACCACCAGATCCTCCAGTGATGAGCTGTCACTGATAACAAGGTCATTGAACTGGTCCTGGATTTGATCCATTGTTTGTGGGAGATCACGGGCAGGAATAAACCATTCGTGCTCCTCCTCTTCTTCCAGCATCTCCTGGAAACAGCGCTCAATAAATTCTTCTTCCCACAACTCCTCTTCAATCTACACAACGAGAAGAAACCGCTTAATCAAGAAATTAGCTGAGAGCTTGTGTCCTTACTCCAACATTGGTGCACCCAGCTGAGCTTCCTTCTAGCTCCGCAGCAGGACTTCCCGCAGAACACCACGCTTGTGCTGCGGGCAGCCGTGTGGAAAGGTGCTTTGTCCCGGGAACCTGGGCTGCAGTCAAAAGTGAATAGCAGGACGTCCCCCCGGCCCCCCTGTTCGGCTTGCAGCTTGCTAGGAGCTGAAAGAGAAGGAAAGTGTTGGTTCCCAGTCAAATTTCCGTTGTACCAACCCGTCTGGACTGAAGTCACCGAGTATGAGGATGGGAAGCGGGGACAGCACTCGCAGCCAGGAAAGTGTCCTACAAGACTCTTGGGGAAAAAATAACCACAGCTGGCACTCGGAACAAGCGGCAGCTCCTCGGCTGCAGAACACGCGTTGCCCCAGTGTGGGTCTACGAACTCCAGACGACGTTAGCAGCTGTCAGGATGCTGACCTGCTGCACTGTAAGCAGGACAAATCAACCGATGCAGAACTGACACGCATTGCGGGGATTAAAGGAGAGTTTGCTTGCTTGTTCAGTAAACAAGCCCTGGAGGGAGTTCATCCCACAAGTTTTCCATGCCCTGCACTGCAGTACTTCGGAGTGGAAAGCAGGGAAATAGAAGCTGGTGCAAATGACTTGCTAGGAGCGGAAAAATGATTCAGGACAGATTTAAAAGTTCACTCAGCAGAAGCTGGAATAAGCTTTCCTATCTCTGCTTCACTCTGAAATCAGACACATACTCAATCCTAAAGTGGAAATTCAGTTACATACTACATATAACAAATTAAAAGAGTTAATGACAGAGTCCATGATTTCTGTAAAATCCAAGTCTGCAGTCCTCTCCAGCTCACTCCGCGCTCGGCTTTGGGGACCAGGACTCACCACCACCTGCTCTAAGCTGCTGCCCAGACAATTCAATCTCCACAAGGAACATGACTTGGTTTCCCCAGTAAAGCACTCCAGCACAGAGGGCGGTCTCCCATCAATCCTCCTGGTCAGGCACCGTCCCCGTCCTGCCTGCGGGGAAACGGCAGGTCAGCCACAAGCTACTATTACAGCAGGGGTTGCCCAGCTCCAGGTTTTCTGTTACAGGGTTGTACTCCTACAGGGGCCTCCAACAGCAGCTCCAGAGATACCAAATAACATTTCATTTCCCTTGTCTCTTGAAATGAATACTGCCTGTTTGTATTTTCTAGCCCAAGTTGAACTTGTCCAGATTCCCACAGAGATGTGCCTGTAGCAGCAGGCGACCAGGCTGCCACGTGGTGTTCGCCTGCCTGAGTAAGGCCATTCTCCCCCCATGCTCCCCCATCTGTCCTCCTTTGAAAACAGAGCCCACACCTAAAAAACAGTTTATTCGTAGCACAACTCTGGGCTCCTTCCCCGAGAACCACACGCCCTGTACGCTAGCTGCAGCACAGATCCCAGGAGGAGAAACCCACTGAACAGGGAACGACCCCGAGTCCATCCTGGCATATGCACAAGAGTGTGGAATTTGTGAGCAACCCGAATTTCCAACCAGTTCTGTGCCCTGGAGAGCCACAGATGTATCCTACTGCAGCAGCTCAGCCATACTGTGCTGGAGGGCAGCGAAGGCAGCTACTGAGTACAGACATCGAGGTTTGATTAAGAAAGGGGCAGAGGAAAGAGGTAGGCTGTTCCCAGCCTCCACAGGAGAGAAAACCACGTCCAGATTGAAGATGCAGTTAAGGCCTCCTTCCAGCCCGACTGCGAAGGCCAGCTGAAAGACACTCAAGGATGAAGCAACAGTCACCCCACTCCCTTGGGAAGAACAGCCCTGCTGAGGCAGGTATGCATCCGGGCGGATCCGGCTCAGAACTACCACAGCCAGGACGCTTGCCCATGGAAAACCCCGCAGCTCAGCAGCCTCAACCCATCCCTTCCAAATGGCCACGTAAAATCATTGAATCACAGAATGGTTCGGATTGTGAGGGACCTTAAAGACCATCCAGTTCCAACCCCCCTGCCATGGGCAGGGACACCTTCCACTAGACCAGGTTGCTCCAAGCCTCATCCAGCCTGGCCTTGGACACTTCCAGGGATGGGGCATCCACAGCTTCTCTGAGAAACCTATCACAGTGCCTCCCCACCCTCTGCGGGAAGAACTTCTTCCTGATATCTAATCTAAACCTCCCCACTTTCCATTTAAACTTGTTACCTCTTGTCCTGTCACTACAGGCCCTTGTAAAAAGGCCCCCCCAGCTTCCTTGTAGCCCCTTCAGGTACTGGAAGGCTGCAATGGGGGCTCCTTGGAGCCTTCTCTTCTCCAGGCTGAACAAGTCTGTCAACTATGGCTTTTTCCCTCCCTTCTGCAGAATCAGGGAAGGAATGGATGAGTTAGAACATACCACGCTTCCCTTAATTTCCACCAAGATTACAGAAAATAAGTATTTATTGCCAGAAAAACTGAGACCTGTCTGTTCCCAAGGATTATTCTAGCAAGTGTACAAACCTTGTCTCTAAAGGATTCCCAGTCTTGTGCCCTGGTTGCTAAGCCACAGCACCTCTCCCTTCTGCTGAAAATCCTAAGCCACATCACAATACATATATCAAGGGAAACGACTTGCCTGCCTGTTAAATTCCTCTTCATTTTCCATCCACATGTACTCCGCAAAGGGATTGTCATCTTCATGAGAATGACCGTTTATAATCACATCTTCGCTGATGATGCTTGGGCTAGTACTGCTGCGACTCGGATCTTTCATGGCTGCACCTTTGATTCAAAGTCTGCAATTAAGAAACGCGGTAATTAAAGACGTGCCGAATCGCTCATCACCCTGCTTCTGCGTCAGGCCGGCCCGAGGGAAGGCCGCACCTGAAGGCCCCGGGTAGCCTTACCCTGACTGCAGCAGAGGAGCTCTGCTGATGGCAACAACTACGGGAGCACCAAACGCCGTTTCCGTTGTACGCAGACGTGACAAACGCGTTGCCAAAACCAGACCTCACCAGGTCAGCGAATGCCAAGCACCCAGACCAATGAAAAGCGACAGGAAAACACAGAAAACACGTGTACGCGCCAGCAGGAAAATATTTAAGGCAACGTTCAAGCAACAAAAGGATCATTTCTTTTCCAAAATACATCTAAAGCTCCCGCCCGACTTCCAACAATCCGCCCTGGAAATGAAGTGCCCACTGTCCACACTGTTCCAGAGGGGGCGGGCCACACTCTGGGGGAATTTCCAAGGATAGCCACGGTAGGGAAACTCAGGTGTGACTTCCAGCCTACCCAAATTCCACTACGGGATGTTCTTTGCGACCACACGAACCAACTCCCACGTCCCAGCGGGAATCCTCGCAAGCGAGGCAGCAACCACTACGCGCCGATTCCTCGGAGCCAGGCCGGCACAACAGTTCTTACGGCCACCTCGCCGGCACCAGCTAGGCTTCAGACAAAGGCACTGGAAGACAGGACACGCTGGCCTCTCATCCCACTTCATTAGTGCGGATCGCGTCACGGCCGGAGAGTGCGCAACACCGCTGCGTGCCCGCGACATGCGATATCCCAATGTCCTGAACTGAAGGAACGAAGGTACAGCTGGCAGGCGTGTGTTGTTCCAGCTAAGCACCGGCAGCGGCAGGCCGGAACGCGTGCCGCGCGACCGGTACCGCAGCCTTTCCGTCAGGCGGCGCGAGGCTCGTATCGCAGCTCGTATCGAGCCAAGCCTGCCCACAGCCCCTGCCCAAATCCCTTATTTGTGCTGGGAAGTAGCTGAGACAGTGCTGCTGTTTTTCCCACACCAGGCTGAAGTACAGATACTAGCACTGGAGAAGCTGACTATTTTTAGCGAGAATACTGGCAGTGATGAATATTTTGACAACAGTGCACAAAGCACGTGAGGCAACGGGCTCAAAGAAAAAAAAAATCAAACTTGAATGTTTTTCCAGTGCTAAAAATTTGCAATGGAAAGACGCAGCAGTGAATGTATTTTTTATTTTATTCTCAAATCAACATTTTAGTTTTCTGCGTATCAAAAAATGACTTACTGAGAGGGTATCACAATACAGCCTCCGTTGTTATTACAGCACAAGGGCTTATCAAGCAGCAGCTCCTATTTTCCCTTTAAGTTGGGCCTATTATCTACGGAATTAATGCAAGTTTTGGTTCAAAATGTATTCTTGATAATACCCGGTCAAAAACCTGCCACCTCCAAACAATCCATTAAGAAGAGCACCAAGAAAAAGGAGCTTGCCTGGTTTGCTCTATCCCAGGTTTTCAAACCAAAGGCGAACCCAAGTGCGGAAGTCCCGCTGGCTCCCTAGGAAGTACAACAAGCGAGACCAGAAGCGGGCAAGGAAAAACAGGTTCTTTTTGATGTTCTTTCAAAACAAACTTGCAAGGGATTACTGGCGGCATTTAACATCAAACAGGAAAAGGTTCTGCATTTAACACCCCAAGTCAAGCTTGAAATTGCTTTAAGGAACTTCAGCTGTTCACAAGCTCACAAACAGGATGGACCAAAAGAAACAAAAAACCTCAGCGCCTAAAAAACCTAACCTTTAATTTTTTTTTTGTTTGTTTCACTGGCAAGCATTTTCACCATTTTGTGGGAGAGTGATCCCTGATATTAATATTCCACCAGGCTTTCTGCACAGCAACAACTTACTACAGGTGAATAACTCCGCAGCAGCAGCGCCTGGAATTTGGCCTTACAACTTCTGTACAAAGACAACTGCAGCTAGACGAGTCCATAAAGGTAAAAACAATAATTAAAACACCCCTACTCGTTTGTGTAAAAGCCTGACAGGTTAACTTGTTGAATCACGGGCAGGTTTTCTCAAGCGCTCCCGTGGAACGCCAGCTATTTGCTGGAGGAGGGAGGGAAGAGACGTGCAGTGCTTCACGCTGGGACCGAAACAACTTTCTCTATTACTGCCCAAGGATGATGTGGATGATTATCTTCAAGAAAGATCCAAGGCTCAACCTGAGCGTGTGAAGTTTATCTGATGAAGCCCTAAGTCCGCAGAGGTTTTCCCACAGGAAAACACGTCAACAAACGCTTGGCCTCCACGAACAGTTAGCAAGCCCCAGGCCAGTCGCTTACTCACAGCACTCCTTATAATTTGATTTTCTGCAACTTGTTATAAAATACACTGTGTGAGGAGCTTCCCATTCCACCATTTCAAGATACAAACCAACCGGCTTTCCGTGCTCATTCGCGAGGACAAGATTCGGCCTGTTTCGCCAGTATTTGCTACAGGTTTTTTAGTCATCAGCTACAGGCAATTCTGAGGAGGAGAGCCAAATACCACTTTAGTCTTGCAAAAAGTCACAATCTAAGAAGGCTGCTGGAGAAAACAAGCTGCACCGACAGGTTCCACTACCGTCATGAATAAAAATAATACGTTTTCCATCTGGGAGTAGGTGGGAAGCAGGCAATCTCAAAGCTCCTTACACTAGAACAGGAAATAGAACACTAGCAGTGCTAAGGAACAGAAAATACGGAGAATTCTGCTCCAGTGATATGAATGTGGAGACCCAGCCACAAATTGTTCCTGGATTTTGGCAGGGGTGAGGAAGAACAGTGTAAGTGCATAAGGACAGACAGAAAAAACAGCATCTCAGGAATGAGGTCAGAGATGAAAAATCCTGTAACAACAGGACTTTCAGTTGACTCAGAGCGTTTTCTATATGCAGAGTGGGACTTGTTACTCCAGAACATCATTAAGGACCGTTAATTTACCTGCTTCTCTGAATTTTGCTGCTTTTATAGCAATGAAAAGCCCCAGACCAACGCTCCTTAAAATTCGAAGCTTTGTGATTGAAGATTTTGCATTTAAACCCCAATCACAAAAGAAGATTATCTAACGCCTACTTCAGACGATAAGGCCAAGGGGCCTAATTCCACACAGCAAACCCCAGGTCCTTACCCTTAGGGAAGAAAAAAGGAATTAAAATATTTGCTTCAAGCATCCAAAAGGACCACAGCACAGCCAGCAGCACCCTGGGACTTCAGCAGCAGCTGCGGTCCGCACAAAGCAGCAGGGAGTGCTCTGAACTTCTGCAGAGACCGTGCTGTTTATTAACTGGTGATTACTCCTGTGAGTCAGGAGCGCTGGCCGAGCTTCTTGTTATCTTGTTAGATACGCAAGTGGCAGTTATCAAGTAAACCGATTATACTCCGTGTAATAAATAGATTTCTCAATCAAATTCGTGTGGGATGCCAGCGCTATCTGATAGAAACACTTCAGAGCGTGGCACTGGAGTGTACCTGAGAACAGACGACTCATTCGCACGGCACGGGAAAGGCTTAAACCCCCACCCGCAGCCAGCACAGCCCCCGCAGAGGTGCGCGGCTCTGCCCTTGGCCGGGCGGGCACAGCGGCTGCCGAACCCCCC